AGGCGCAATTCACATCGCGGCTGCATAAGTGGGCGGCAGGCCACCTGGGCAGCTACGAACCAGCGCTAGCCTTCACAGTGTATGTAATGCACGATTTTCGCCCCACAGGATCTTCTATTCAATGGTGTGTTTCACATTTTTGCTTTTCTAAGATGTGAGACGAGGCTGTAAATTGCTTGTCCACCTCGGGGGACAAAGAAGCGGAAGTGCCCGCTGGATTGGTAACTTGCAAGACAAAGCTTTCAGGTCACTGACACTTCGCAGAACACCCCATTATCAGAGTTTCTACAAGCGTAGATACACGATGTACGATATCTAGTTAACAAGGTTATAGTCCCTCACAGACAAAACCTCCTTGCAGCCATCCCGAGATCCACTCCATCACCGTGCCCCAGGAGATCAGCGAGGATCACGCGCGCTGCCATCATGAGAGGCTGCTGACGAGCTCTCCTTTATCCGGGACCACGTCTCATCCATATCCATGGGAGCGGAATGGACCGAACCCGCAGACTTGGTCTTAGAGTTCTTGCTCTTGACAGTACGAGGAGTCGAAGAGATCGCTCTAGTGTTCTTGGGAGCTGGGATATAAGAGTATCGGGAGGCATGAACTCTAGCAGCTCGGGCTACTTCTTGAGCGTCCTTGACAACCTGTCGGGCCCTGTAGAGCTCATCTCTAGCGGCCCGCGCGGCTTTCTGGATTCGCTTCTTCTCTCTGGCGTCGCGGCGCTGCCTGCGAGTAAGTCTGGCATACTCGTCGGCTGGTGTAGTTACTGGACGCGAAGACTGCGGAACGTTGACAGCGGGAGGGAGCATGGTCGTAACTGTGCGGAGTTAGTGCAAGATCGATGTAGATTCGAGGGGAATTTACCTGGAGCATTCGGACGCTCTGAACCGATGAGGGGAACGCTGGAGACGCCAACAAGTTGGCCATAGCCATGAAGCCTATTGTGCTGTCTCGAAGACGGTACGGCAGGTTCGTTGCCGCCAGTCCTCGTCTCGACGGTGCTGAGCGTGGCGACCGAACCGTAAGCCATGATGCCGACAGCTCGTCGCCGGTACTTCCAGGATGTTGTTTTCTGCGTGTAAGATGATTTGAATTGAAGTAGCAGAGATGATTGGGTGTGACTGTATTGTGAGAACTCAGTTTGGCTTTGTGGGTGGGACAAAAGTGAGCGTGGAGCCCGTTATTGCCAAGGCAACGACTTAGTGCGCGCACTCTCACCGTCTCAGCAATAGATTGGTGTGCTACCGTATTTGGAAGCTGGGCCAGTCAAATTGGCACAAATGGGAAAGACGGAGAGGTCATAGAACATATTCGTCTTCGAAGACAGTACCATGCTTTCACCGTGATGAACCACAGTGAGCAGTGCGCTGATGAGGAGAATACTGTTCATTCAACAAAAGCAAGCGTATTTCGTAAGAACATAGCCCTATTCACTCTATTTATATATGCCATATGATGCCACAACAGGAGACAGGCCTAGAAGGATGCACTGTCGCGAAGAAAAGACATGTTACATTCCATCGTAATGCCGCCAACGTGAATCGCTCTCAACTCACCAATCAAAGTCCTCGTCATCTTCTCCCATATCGCTTTCGTCATCCTCGACAACGTTGTTTACACCCGTGTTCCCCGTGCGGCCAACCATACGCATCTCCGCCGGAGTAAGGATCTGCCTGTTCGGAGCTAGAGTGTGTTCTACTTCATTCTCGTCCTCTTCGTCATCATCTTCTTCGCCATCTACGGCGTTCTGGATATCATATGAGCCACCGAAGCGCTGGCCGCGAGGAGACGATCGCGTGCTAACTTTGGCCTTCTTGGTCCGCTTCTTGGGTCCGGCATAAGCGTCAGAATCAGAATCAGAGTCGTCCGCTTCAGGCAGCACCTCTTTGCTAAGGCATGATGACGACCGGGTTCTTGGTGAGCGACGTGCAGGTGTCCTTGGCGACGTCTTCTTGCTGCGCTTGGACTTTTGCTTAGGTGAGGTGTCTTCGTCTCCATTGAAAGTACGCTTGCGTTTCGACGAGTTACGGGTTCGCGGCATGAGTTCATCTTCGTCCGACGTGTCATCTTCCATGACATTCTTACGCCTCGAACCCTGCTTAGTGGTAGTGACTGGCTCATCATCGTCAATGTCCAAAGCATCAAAATCGAAGTTATCTAGATCTGCTTCAGACTCCTCTCCAGAGTCTTCATCCAGTATCTCTTCTTCATCCGAGTCAACCACGAAGTTCTTCGGCTGTTTCATGAGGCGCCCATTCCTATCACGCTGTCGTGCACCGGCTCGCTTCGCATTGTTCCGCTTCTTTTCGGAAGTGTGTCTCCGAATTGCAGCATCGTCGTGATGGTGTGGGTGCACAGTAGAAGCACCCCCGAGTCGAGCAACCAGGTTCTGGAAATCTTGAGGATATTGCCAGCTCGAATCGTTATTCTTCACGCAATACTGCACACATCGTGTAAGATCTAGCGCATCATGTCCCGAAGGCATGATCTTCACTCCGTTTGCCATATCGCGAAATGGAATGCTAGGAGGGGACTGAGTGGTTGCCACAGCCCTTTCACGGGAGTTGAAGTTGTAAGGTGGGGCAAAGCCTGCTACGCTGACACTGGTGGGATTAAATCCAGCAGGTTTCGGTAAAGTCGTATGTTTGGATACTGTCCAATCCTCGTAAGTCGGCTCGGTCTTCGCGCGATGGAGCATTGGTCCCTTCATCATCCGATATACCGTATTGTTCGTGATCGGACCGTACGGCATGTCTCGGTAATGGTTAATCATGTCTGCAAAGGTCCCCGATAGGGCGCCATTGTGGAGAAAACGGTCCATGATGTCGAAGGATTTGATGGCATGCGGAATGAAAGCAAGTGTTTCTGCCAAAGTTAGGTTGCCATGGGGAAGATCTAGCCAAGCCGAAGGCGCATCCTTCAATTTATCATATTTTGGGCTACCGGGGCCTCTGGATTTCCTTCCTTCGGGAATCGGTTTCCTTTTGACAATCTTACTGGAAGCAATGTCTTGGTTAGCGACAGGAATTGGGGATTCGTTTCCATTTCCAATGAAGGCAGGTTGGTCTTCTGGATAGTTTTGGTAGTCTTCTTCGTCACTTTCAGGCTGATCAAAGAGATGAGCTGTAGCGTACCCATCGTGGATTGCAACCTCAACGTGTAGTGGATACCACCGGAGGTCTGCAGGGATATTTTCTTCTTCCCTGTATTCTACAGCAATCATGGGGTCGATAACGCGATCATTGAAGGCGGTTCTCGCCTTCCCAAGGCGGTGTTTGTTGTGGCCATCGATGATCTTGCACTCCTCATGCATTGATTGATGAAGCACCTTCATTTGATCAATACCCCGGGAGTTGCATTCCATCAGGCTCTCTTGATGCTGTGTTTGAAGCAGTTCGCGCACGTCTGGGAGGTTCGCGAAGAGATGGCCGGCATTTAATTGTGCTCGGTCGAGCATATCCTGGACTTCGTCCCGCGTGAATGTGATTGGAGACATGGTATCAATGCAGCCTGAGTATAGGGTAAAACAGTTGCTTTGGCTGGTCAGGGGTGAGACAGTTGAGTTGTGCTCACTGAAGTTGAGATTCGTGGGATAATATCAAATCGAAAGAAGGGGAGTTTACCGTGGTGGAGTGAAAGTTCAGCACCTGCTGGCCAGTATTGTTTTCACTCGCCGTTATGTGTACTAAAGACACTGTGTATACAACAGGAGGACCGTACATCTAGAGGAGTGTGTGGAGGCCGAGGCGACAAGGAAACAAAGACGTCGAGTCGAACATTGTTCGACTCTTTGTTTCAATGCTCGTAAGAAGACTCAAGACAGACTGATTCTGGTGATGCGAAGAATGCGACCTGATAACCGACATTGCACAGACTCAAGATATACATCCCGGCCTGTCGATTGCTTCTCATCATCGTGTAGCATGAAGCAAAATCTCCGGCGCCAACGATGTAGACGGTTTGACGTGAGGTTCTGGCTCTTGAGCTGTGTTTCCGATGTAACAACCTTAATGACAGACATTACTGCACTTTAATCATCTGCTAGCAAAGTCGATACTTGAATGTCTGCGGACGACTTTAGATTGCTGGATGGCAAATGTTTCTGCAAGTTCTGGCTGTAGCATGCGGTGGCCGTATTGGTTGGCAAACAGTTGGCCTCAAGAAAACAATAGTTGCAGTTCTCCATGGCATTCGTATCCTGGTCGATGCTGCAGTCGCTGATGTGATGTGATGTGATGCGATGATTGGGGTCACGGATGGGGTCGGCAGCGGCAGCACTTGAGGCCAATCCGTCGGGGAAGCCGCTTATCCGGTTCCGCTCTAGCGCCGCTTCCGTCCGGAGATTATTCCAAGGTTCTTCACTCTATCCGCGGCTTCCCCTCATTTCCTTGCGGCATCCGGGTCGGTGCATTACAGTACGACCAGTTCGCAGGGTCGTTCGGTACAATGATTGCCTGGAGATGCTCAGATCTCACTATATTGTTCCTGGCCCTGACATCGTCGCACTTGGGCAATTTGCGGAGGACAGCCTTAGAGCCCGCCTGAGCAGCAACTCCGCCCAGCCTGCTACGCCGCAACCTATGCCTGTAGACGCAACGCGACAGAACCTGCTCGGCTTACCTCCACCGAAATAACGTATTTGCTCACGAACAAAGTAAGCCCGCAGATGACGTTGCTACCCCTCGCCCAGGAATGCCATGGCAGGTCTAGTGCAGAACTGGCAGGTCAAGGCCACCACATCTTGGGGAAACGTCCCGATTACACCTCATCCATGATTAACCGGGCTCTTGGGCAACATCAATCATGTCACCGTGCGCACGTTGAGCTGCCAATGTCCATGGTCAGGGCTTGGAGGAACACGCTTTGTGCTTATCATGGTGCCAGCAAACTAAAATGCGCCCAGGTGAGGAAGATGGTCAGCTATATAAGGCCCATGTTCTACAATCTTGAATATCTCACGCTCGTCAATTGATCGCTTCCGTGGCGGAACAACATCATGAAGTTCGTACTCAGCCTTGCCTGGCTATCCCTCGTTGCAGGTGCGACCATTCGCAGCCCACAGCCTCGTACATATGATGGGTACCAAGTCCATCGCGTCCGAGCTACTGGATCTCAATATGCTGCAGCAAAGCGAGCTCTTGCTGCTGTCCCTCACGAGACTTTGAACGAGATTCGTGGAAACCTGGATGTTCTTATCGCACCCGGGCAGTTGGACGCCTTCAAGGCTTTGGGGCTCAAGTCCCGAACCTTGCATGAGAACCTGGCCGATTCTATCGCCCGGGAGTCGCACGTCAAGAAGGCCTGGAAGAGGCAAACTAACGGTTCAGAAGATGCGTGGTTTGATAGCTACCACCCGTATGAAGACGTAGGTGATGTATCACTGCTATTCGATCCGAAGCTGACTGGCCATTATTAGCATATTACTTGGTGGCGCGATCTACAGGAATCGTTCCCAGACAATTCAAACTGGACGAGCACTGGAATATCTTTTGAAGGGCGCGACATGTTCGGCGTTCATCTCTATGGAAAAGATGGTCCAGGAAAGCCTGCGGTCATCTACCACGGAACTGTTCACGCTCGTGAATGGATCACTGCTATGACCATCGAGTATATCGCCAAGGCCCTCACCGACGAATACAAGGCCGGCAACAACTACACGCAAGCCATTCTGGATAACTACGACATCTACATGTTTCCCTTTGTCAACCCCGATGGTATGTCAAGTCACCAAGGATAGATCCACTGGTTGTTGCTAATACATGCTAGGCTTCGTCTTTTCTCAAACAGATGACCGCCTATGGCGCAAGAACCGTATGCCGCCACCAGAGAACGCTGCCAATCAAACATGCTATGGTCGCGACGTGAACCGCAACTGGGAGACGTGAGCGAATTTTCTGCGCTATCCGTATGGCATACACTGACATGTAATCTCAGGAACTGGGATGCTGACCCACGCGGAGCTTCAACAGACCCATGCTCGCAGACATACAGGGGAGAAGCGCCCCGCGATACGCCTGAGAACCTGGGAATGGACAACCTGATCCGCAAGATCCGCGATGAGCAAGGCATCAAGCTATACATTGACTGGCACAGCTACTCCCAGCTGATCCTGTACCCATTCGGCCACAAGGAGACTCTCTACGCGCCAGAGCTCGGCATGTGGACCAAGGCCGCTGCCTTGATGAGCGAAAACATTGCCTACTACTCAACCAATGCGACTACCTACACCTACGGCCCTAGTGGAGCAACCTTGTACCCGACAACCGGTGCGTCTATCGACCATGTGTACACTATTGGTCGCGCCAAGTTCTCTATGACCATTGAACTGCCCGACACCGGTGACTTTGGCTTTGTATTGCCTCCGGAGAGGATCAGGCCCGCGGCTGAAGAACAGTGGGTGGGTCAACAGGTACTGCTGAGCCTGTTGGACGAGGAATTCTTCGATGGCGAAGGCCCAGCGATTGGTGCACTCGGTACTACATGGTAGACACATGTAGGTGTTAGACCAGTTTTGTTGAATCGCAGCTGCTAGAAACCGCTGTTGACCAACATTACCGCATAATCACAAGTCAGAATGGCATTGTCATCTGTCAAGTCTACGTCCGTACTTATTTCGAAGTCCTCTCCTCACAACTCAATATACTGTCTCACACTTGAATCAATTCATCATCTAGGGCAACTGGAGGAGCCAATTCTCTTCTTTCATGTCTTGCCGCCGTCACCTCCACTTCCATGCGGCTAGCGCTCAAATTGATGCGTCCGTGCGCCAGAGGTGAAGGTGATGCCGGCATCTCTTGTCATCCTCATCTTCCCCATTAGGCATATCAAAATCATCGCTCTTATCACCACTCCTTCTCCTCGCTACAACGCTAATTGAGGGCTCTTGACTTCGGCTCGCCCAGCATGCTGCTTCCTCCCACCGATCCGCACCTTTCGAACGCAAGCACGCAATCAACTTCAGGAACCATGGGCCATACTTGGCGTACGCCGTCTCCTAGCAGAGAGGCTTACATTAGCTCTAGTGAGTTTAGTGGATACATGAAATGGACGAGAATCGAATACTAACATGTAAACAGGCAACGTCAACTCGCCACAGGTCGTACCTGAAGCTTACGATGATCTCTCCGACGAGTATTCAAGCTATCAGCAACGCGTTGAGAACCGCGCTTCTGGTACTGCAGCGGTGGAGGCTGCAAAGCATAATCGACGACGCGACGCAGCATTGTCACGTCTCCACAACGTGTTCGACGGCAAGAGTGACTCCGGCGACCAGAAGCCATACAGTCAGACTGTTAGCGCCAACAGCGAGGACGGAAGTCTAGGGAAGCCTGAGCAGCCATCCACGCCCAAGAAGAACCGCGTTCCGCTCCTTTGGCATGGACTACCATCCCCAGAAACGCCGACGTTTCACAACTATACACGAGCCATCCCTTCAGCTAGCTCTGCGCAAGAGGAGCTATCATGGCGAACTTCCCTCGAGGAGACCAAGAACGACGTTGAGACTGCCCTAGTGAAGGCAAATCACACTCCCAATAAGTTTTCGGTACCGACGCAGTCTCCTATTGACAACGACAAGGCGAACGACGGTTTGAAGCCTATAATCTCCCAGGCTCCCGAGGATGATACCGGGGCTGATGCGAGACTGGCTCGCGAACTTGAAGAGTCTCTGAACCCGACGGCCACACGTCGCAGTACCAGACTGCGCACACAGCCCAAGCCATCGTGTAAGTACTGCTTTCCTAATAATATCAGTGCATTTGCTAACCGCTTTCCTTCATTCAAGACAATATTCAAGTACCAATCGCAGCGCCCAAGTCTCTTCGCAAATTGTTGCCCGCGACGAAACCAACGGAGTCTTCGGCACATCAAGAGTTCAGCTTCAGCACTGAGCCTATCAAGGCCGACCCTGTACCCTTCGATGGACTGCCCACTGTTCACTCGCTGTCATGGCAGTTGCAATATCCGCCCGGAGGGAGCACACACCCGTCATACCCATATCCTTCTCTGGACCCTCGTCTGCTCTTCCACCAAGCCTTTGTCCCAATCATTGGCGGCTTACCTGACTTCACCTTGGTTCAAAAGCTTGTACTTCCTATGGGCTGGAAGCATGTTTCATGGTCTGGCCTGCTGCCGATCGCGTTTGATCCATATCGTCAAGCGTTTAAGCTCACACCGGTTGGGCCCATGCCGCTTACGTGCGAAGAACTTCATCAACAAGGCTTGCACATGTATGTACCAGGTGGCGAACTACATCCTGAGTACGGACTGGTACCCGAGATGCTCAAACTCAGCGATGGAAGCGACACCGATGTTTTCAACTTCGACAGTGTTGATTGGGTCTTGCCGTGGAAGGGCCAGATAGACTTCCACGCCCCGTCCAATGCCACCAACGAGCAGCTCGGCAGCTATGAGATTACCAGCTCCGTCGGCTCCGACACTTTCGCGCCCGTGACCACCTTTCCATGGAGGGAAGCCCGCGACTGTCCAGATAAGGTATTCGACATCTGCGATGCGTGGCGTTGGCTATCGTTCAAAGAGACCAACCCTGACGCGGACTTCATCCCCACGCCTGGTATGAACTGGCGAGGAACTGGCGCAATACGCTCCACGCGCAAGCTCAAGTTACCTATCCCCGAGCTGATGATGCTTGCCATGCCGGACCCGACTACATCAGAGAACAAGCATATTGTGTTGCTTCAGAACCAAGATGATGGAGTCAAGGATAAGAATCTGTTTTGTCCATTCAAGAGTGTTGCAACATCCGTTACGGTGGACATAACCTTCCTTGGCGACACCGAGTTCACGATCATGGAGCTACTGTCGTACTTTCCTCAGCACTACTACTGGGGTCATGCCGCTGAGCGTTTGACAAAGGCGGGCGTCACCGGAACTCAAATACGGGATTTTATCATCATGACACGAGGGCTTCAGGGCGACGAGATCAAGATGGGACACAGTATTACTTGTGCAGCTAAGCTTGCCCAGAGGAGGGATTGCGTTAAGGTCGAAGAGATGGATATTGATGAAGTCGGGAAGGATACACCATCACCTACACCCGCTCCGGTCATCGATTCCACGGTTGTCGACTTGACTTCGAGCTATACTGCTGAAGGGTGGATCTACGATGTATGGGAGAAAATCGACTACCCGCTTCTTGCCCTCGCCCATGGCTTGCAGTCGTTGCCTACAGGCGTGGATGCCGGTCCGCTGACCGCACTCATACACTGGTGCCGAGAGAAAGGTCGGTACAAAGCCATGCTTAGCGAAGTTCCTGCGCTGCTGAAGGAGGCAAGCATTGAGCCGCTGATCGAGCCTGGCGAGAATGGCTGTCCAGATAAAGAAGTCGCAGGTAGACATGCTGGGGCACTGAAGAAGGACAGACTAAGGGTGGTTAGAGATGCGGGTGCTAGCAAGAGGGCACTGGATGTTAGTGTTGGTGGGACTCAAGGAAAGAGAAGGAGGGCTGGGTAATGTCACCGGGAACCTCGTATGACAACAAGAGGTGCTGCGAAGGGTTTGGGGATGTTAAGCGTGTAGGAAATCTCTGAATTTCGTGCGCCGTCGGAAAGGCATGATGTATATGGATAGCATCGACTTAGTCGCTTCCCTAACAATATCCAATCAATAATTCAGATCACTTCCTTGCATCGCTGTCTAGTGCATCGGAATACCCGGCAGTGGCCCAAGTCCACACTACACCTCGTCAGCAAACCTCCTTCCCCTCTAGCTTCATACTTACAGCAGGCGCCGGCGACGGGCATCCACCATTGGAGCTCATGTAGCAGCCCATCTCAGCAGCATGCTTCATCAAGCACTTCTCATTCGTGCTGAGCAAGTTCATCGGCACAATCGGCATAGCGCATTTGCATGGCTCTTTGAACGTCGGCGTCGGTTCTTTGTGCCTGTGGCTATGCGTGCGGTTGTGCTTACGCGTTCCGCTGGGGGAAGGGGCGATGCTGGCTTGTGGTGCAGCCCACGGGTATGGTGTTGCGAGAGCGGTGGTAGCGAAGAGAATGGTCGTGAGAAGCGTCGATATGTACATCGTGGGCGGTAGGAATATGTGGTATGTGTCGGAATAATTCAGATGTTGAGTGCTCTGAGATGCAGAGAGCCAAGCGTCTAGGATGCTTTGCAGACGATCTGAATCTTGTAGGAACCGTGAGCGCCACGCGGCAGAGGGTTTCTTCTACCGAGAATTCGCGATCCAGTACGCGGCGCAATATAGGTTGATGAAGTTCCATCTAATCATGCAGCGCCCTCGTCCAGTGATGCGCCGCCGGTTAAACGCCCATATTTGGAAACGGAAGTGTGAAAGCGGCGATGAACAACAGATCCTTCTCGTTTCTCTTTTATTTCGAGTGTCTGTGTAGGTGCAAATATTTGAACGTCGAGGATCTAGCGGATGTCTTGTTTCGCTTGACGCTGGCGGCGTTCTCGGAGAGGAATTCACGATCCAGTATATTCTGGATTCGCTGGTCATGATGCCTCCCGGTACTCACTGGATCGCTGCCGTCTCTTCATCACTACCATCATTATTCTTGTCAGCTTCAGGCACATGAGGGTTGAAGTCATATTCCACGTGTTGCTGGCACATTGCGCAGTGTCGGAAGCTTGACGCGTCGCGCGAGCTCATGCCGCAATTTAGCGTGTCTTTGGCCTCTCTAGGCTCCAGGGCTCCAGCCATCTCATTTGGAGCATCCACTTCGCGGCCAGAACGCGCCACTCTCGTAGTCGGAAATGATGAAGTTTCTGCATGTGCCGTGCTTTTGGTACTGACGATGAGAGACCAATTTCACAGTTCCAGCTCCAAGATCGAAGACGTCATTCAGCAGTTAGGCTCGCAGATCCCACTTGCGTGGGCAACCGCACTGGAATAGATGCTTCAGTTGTCGCGACTGGTCAATCATACTCAAAATAACGATGCTGCAACGGCATGGGTGATTAAAAGCAGTGACTACAATGCATGCATATCTAAAAAAGAGGGAAACTACCAATTCGAACTTATCACTCCCCATCACTTCAGCGTCGACTCGAGATTTTTCATCTCCCGTTGCAACCTCCCGTCATCCCTCAGATAGGTAAGTACATACACCTCCTTTGCTGGGGGAGATATTCCGGCCACCTGTGGACTTGCCTCGAATTGAGCCTGTGTAAAAGTCTCTGTCACAGAATCAGAGATGCAAGTGATACGGCCGCCTGGGCCGCGAACACTCGCGATGTAGTGTCCACCTGCGCTCTCTGTGCCTTCGCCGGAGTGTGAGATGACACTAGATAGCCGGTAGCGGAGGGGAAGATGAGCATTCTCTTGATATTGAGTTAGGTCGAGTATGTTGGGGTGAGCCATGCGGTGGTTGATCTTGTGTTCCGTAGCAGGCTGCGGATTGCCTTTTTTGTCTTTCTTTTCCGACTTTTTCATTTGGAAGATGGCAAGTTTGATCTTCAGGATTTGAGGACCAGCTTGAATACTGGTCGTGACCAGATGGTTAGTATTGCTTGCACAGATAGCGCAGTGTATCGTTCTCCGCTCTTGAAAAAATCTCGACAGCGCTGCGTTGAAAGTTGTTGTGGCCGTGGGAACATTTAGAAGGATGCCGGTTTCTGGAATCTTCGCAATGAGCCTTTCGTGACCACATGTTATACATCGGCCGTTCTCTTGTCTGTCGAGCTGGAATAGTGCGCGGAAGTCTTCTTCCCATTCTTGCGTCCTAGAACTGGTAAGTATGCATGTTGATAATTTACTAATGGGCGTTTACTCACTCACTGGCGACCTGCAAGCGCTGCAGAATCACCTGATAAAAGTCGTTAGAGTCCATCTGAACCATCGAACCGTTGGCGGCCAACTGCGCGACGTCACCAGCCAATGCGATTCCTTGTATTCTTGGCATGTCGGGGGCGACTGTGGCGTTGGGAGTGTTAGCCCAATAAGTGTTGACCAGCTCTCTCATCATGCATCCAGTACAATCTGGCACCGCATTATTGGTAGCTGTTCCCCAATACTGTGGAGGATTTGCATGACAGGCATTACGTATGTTACTGCCACCAGTGCCTCGTCTGACCGGGCGATCATGATTTTGAAGCCAGTTCAGTAACTGGGGCTGATGCATCAGGGCCTGGAGCGCGGCGTTGATGTAGCACCAGTTGGTACCAGTTGTGAAGCCTTTGCTTCTCTGTGGCCTAGCACGCCCACGCATAAGCCATCTCTTACTTATACGTGCTGCCTAAGAGATGATCAGTAAGAACAATCAAGCTCGGGAACGAACATACTATGCGGTCCCGATTCTCCTGCAAGTCCGAACGAAGGCTAACACGCGCGTTAGCTGGAGTTCCGGTTATAGCCGCCGGGATACGCGCGCTTCGTCGACTGCCCGCTGGGGCTCTATATACCCTAGGAGTGGCCATCTTGGATGTGAAATTTCTGTAAGAATAGCTGAATTGACCTGAGGTTTGGAAAAGAAGACGATAGTGTTCAAAAAGTACTGGCATCGATGACGGGAAACTGCGAGTTTAAAAGCCACAAGATGACCGCCACAAAGGAACAATGGATGGGACGTCAACCGCCATTGTCCTCTTGCCATCGTTTGACATGCACCCAAAGAAAGGCGGAAGCGGACACGATGAATGCGATGTGACATGCCCTGTAGTTGCCGCAAGTCTGAAGTTGTCGCATCCGGTAGAATGGAGATAAGGACATAGCCCAGATTTCGATAACTTGAGTAGCATACACACAGCCTTCGTGAAGATTCATGCTAAGAAAAGCAATCAGAACGCTCAAAGCCTTAGGCTACAACATCTTGAGCAGAAAAATTCGTAGTTTGATGGGCGAGGCCGTCTCTTAATCAGGGCGGAGAAAGAAAAGGGATGCATGCAATGCAAGCTTCAGCATCTTCGCGTTCTGGGATAGGTGCTTGCTATTTTGCCAGACGTAGTGGTCAGTTTTCGATATCTGCCAGGTAGTTAAAAGTTGTCTCAACGCTGAGCCTTCACACGAGACGTTTTCATGACATTGTGAGAGGATGTCAGTGTAGAGCATGAAAGACGCAGCGCTCGAGACGCACACTCGCATGCCCACATAGCGTCTTGGCACCCCCTCCACCCCCCATTGGCCGTTTCCCCATCCGTCACCACACCACTCACATCAGCACTCCCTGCTGTGACATCTCCACTCACTATCGATGCAATAACCACCATGGCGACCTCAGAAACCCAAGGCGCTAGCTACGAAGCCGAACACGTTCACTCGGTCTACGAAGAAATTGCATCCCACTTTTCTTCCACCCGCTACAAGGTGTGCGTCCACCCGTCACAAATATTCCAAAACCGCATGCATGACTAACGCGAATGCTAGCCCTGGCCCATAGTCGAGCGTTTCCTAAAAGAACAGCATGATGGCGCTATAGGCGCAGATGTCGGGTGTGGGAATGGGAAGTATTTGGCTGTTAATAAGAAGGTATGGATTGTGGGTAGTGATCGGTATGTTCTAATCATTTGTTCACTGGGTTGACTATCCTACGACAAGTAATGCTTTTGTCCCTGAAATTTAACGTCGATACAGATCTACAAACCTTGTCAAGATCGCGAAACAACATGAACCGCACGATGTAGTGGTAGCAGACAACCTTTCTCTGCCTCATCCAAATGGTGTGTTTGATTTCGCTATTTCGATAGCGGTCATTCATCATTTGTCGACATCGGCACGGAGGGTGGAGGCTGTAAAGTGTATTTTGGATTTACTGCGGCCTTCATCGCCGTCGAGGCATAATGGAGATGCTGGCCCGGAGGGTGGGAGAGCACTTATCTATGTCTGGGCACTTGAACAGAAGGACAGTAGAAGAGGCTGGGACGAAGGTCACGAGCAGGACGTCATGGTGCCGTGGGTCTTGAAGCAGAAGAAAGAGAAAGAGAAAGGGCGGAGGAAGAAGAAGGATGAGGGTGAGGCTGACGAAGAAGAGGCGCCAAAGCCGGACGGTGATAAGACGTTCTTGAGATACTATCATTTGTATCGGAAAGGGGAGCTGGAGGGGGATATTGAGCAGGCTGGTGGAGTTGTATTGGAGTCGGGGTATGAGAAGGATAATTGGTGGGCTATTGCGAGACTCGGATGAGCATCTCAGTGATATTTACTTGTGCTATACCTCATACGTGAACGTGCAGCACCTCTAAGTGTGGTCTACTGCTTGCAGCCCGGTGCGTTCCAACTGCGCATGGTGATCTTACGCCTTGGTCAAGTCTACAGGCAGGGCGTGACTGCTCTCAGTCAGCGGAAAGAGCTGATAGTAGAAGCCCAGAGCGCCTGCTACAAGCACAATATAGTAGGCGACGGTCCATCCAACACCCCTGCCCTGATACAGTGGGACGCTCTTCTGCTCATCATCCTTCTTGTCAACGTCTGGTGGTCCGATGGGATTGCCGGCTTCGACACCCACACGGCCGTAGAACCGCGGAAGGCCCATCCAATTGCAAAAGGTATGCGCTATCATGCACGTGTAGACATTTCCGGTTCTTATGAAGACAAAGGCTGCGAAGAAACCGAAGAGCGACGTGTATGTGAACTGGAAGAGTGAGCGGAGCACGGCGACGAAGAACGGAACTTCAGAGTGGGTTATGCGGAACTCGTAGAGGTGGTGGAGATGCGCGATGCCGAAGTACAGTGGCGTGAGGAAGACGATCTGCTTGCCGGAGAACTGCGCGAGGACATGGAGGGGGATGATTAACGAGCGCCACACGACTTCTTCACTAACGGGGCCCTGGGCAGGTTAGAATAGGAAGAGGTGGACTGGAGTAGACGACCTACGACTATGTAGTTCCTGTATCCGATCCAGCTGCTCAGGGTCTCGTTGACGCCCTTTAGTTTGATCCAGTCTCTCCAGTCACCGTCTACAATGCCGTGCTCGAAGATAGGACCGGCGAAGAGGATAGTCACCAGAAGCATGGTCCGGATGGTATCTACAAGTGAAACAGGCCAGATGCCAAGCAAACGGATGATCTCCATGGCCGATGCGTCATGCTGGTACAGTACGACGATGGTGAGGACGGAGCATAGGACGGTGGAAAAGGTCACTGCGCGCACCCGGGCGCGTATCGAAGACGGCGCATCGCGCGTAAGATTCGGAGAGGGTCGCGTGGCGGGCGACAAGTAGAAGGGAATTACGTAGATGAAGACATAGGCGGCCTACAGGCGTGGTGGTTAGCTACTTCAGCATGTTTGGCGCGTGCGGTGCCATTGGGTGAGAACAATGGCAATGGTGGTGGGGAGCGAACTTGAAACGTACCGACAGAAGCGCCGCAACTCTCGACGAAAGAACAGGCGGTTTGGGAACTGGCACCACGTTAGACCTCATGGCGATGTTTCGACAGGAAAGCGCAACAGAGTTCGTCCGATGTGGGTCGCGCAGGCGTTTAAGAGGGTTTGAGGTGGAGGAGCGCCAACTTACCGCCCTTGACATGTCGCTGGTACAAGTCTTCGAGCGCACTGAGCTTGTCGCGCCAGCCGTTGGGGGGTGGAGGCATGGCGAGGTGTTGCAAAAAAGCAGCCGCACGTCAAACGCACTACAGGAGAGGCAGGAAAAGAATCATGGGCGTTGTTTATAGCTGCATGAGATCCCCCCGCGTTGTCGCGCGCATCTTGTTGGCGCAGCGCAGCCATTCACCTTCGATACCCCGCCAAGCCCCATCGGTCACGCTGGATCACGTGCCCCGATCGTCCGTTCCCTCGTCTCGGCTCCTGCGACTCGCGCCATCAGCGCCCACGACGTCTTAGCACGCCCTCCCGCGTTACCCCTGCAGCACGCACAACCAAAGGCCCACTGGCCAGCCTCTCTGCCATTCAACGGCTAGTCCGCCACGCTGCGCGTCGTCACTGGCCCGTCCCAAAATATAATTTCATTTTAAACGTTCAACCGCGACGCGCTTCTCCCGATTGACTAGGAAGGCTGTTCGACGAGGGTTCCCCAGGCGCGTCGCAGTGATCGCACTCCCAGGTGGACCGCGCATCCAGCAGCTCATATCATCTTGTCGACCGGTATAGGCTAGACGAAAGTCATATTGTGCGAATTGGGTCCATCTCTGTACAAGTCATCATAAGTCGCGGGTCGTGCTCCAGACTGGCCGGGGCTGAGCTGTCAATTGGATCGCTCCTGCAGCGCGAACCTGCTTCTGCATACAGCCACGAACCCTCTTTAGGCCGAGCTGCTGCCAGACGCCCGCCGTCCTCACCTCACCACCACTCCTCGTCCTCCCTCCCTCGATTCTTCATACCGTTAATGCCTGCGGGCCGCCATTCTTTTTGATATGTTTTAGCACTTTTGTCACTCTTTGGCTATCTTCACATACTGTCTTTACGTCCTCTTTTTACTGCTTTTTTACCCATACCCCGTCATTAATGATCGGTTTCGACTTCTCCGCCCGCGTTTACCACCAGTCCACATTTCGGCATCCTCGGCCCACACCACCACCACAGCATGTCCTCACAACAACGCAACAGTCGCGCAGACTCACAAAACGCACTCGAAAAAACACTCGCACAAGGTCCTCGATTTGACCCGCCGCAGTCGCAGTCAACAAACACGTCTCCTATCCGCAAGCCGCTTCACGAACGCTCAAACTCGCAAACTAACCGCGACTCTGGGTCAACCATCCGTATTGTTCAAGATCCCGGACATGACATCTATCAGAAATATCCCGTACCTAGCGAACCCTCGCAAATCCTGCCCCCACCCCGTCATGCGCCGGGTTACGGCTTTGAAAGGCCGGGATCTCGTGTTTCAAATAGCAGCCAGGTCGCCAGTACCATCGCAAAGTTCGAGGCGAGCCGAGCGCGAACACCACAGCCTATCCTGTCACGGAAGAAGGGTTTCAGACATTCGGGCTCCACTAGCATGTCAGAGGA